TATATATATATATATATCTATATATACATTTTTTAAAAAAATTGGGTAAAATTAATAAAAAAATATATTCAAATATATATAATGTGTGTAAGACCTTTAAACTAAAATACTTTACTTGAAAGATAACGGAAAAAATATTACATCAAGACTCTGCAACGTGCAGAGTCCATTGAAATTACATCGTGGAGATGATCGGTCTGGTAACTCAAGAAAATATTTCCCTTGTGTTATTCCGTATTATTCAAGTGTTATTTTATGTTATTTAGGTGTTATTGTGTTCTGAGAATATTTCTGATGGTGTTGTAACATAATAACACATCAATAGTACTTGAATAACACACAATAACACCTGAATAATACACAATAACACCTTAATAATACGGGAGTAATATTCCTTTGTGTTATCGAACAAAATTTTATTTTTTTCTACGTGACATGATTTCATTCGATACTGCAATGATATAACATTTTTCCCACAAACTACATTCCCGAAGCTTAGGTAAAATTTTTTCCCAAAAAACCTTTTTCTTTTATGGATAAGAGATAAGGATGCTGTGGAGCCCACTGGCTCTTTTATGCTTTTTGTCCATTGTGGCAATCTTGCTTTAGATTATCCGTTTATGATATGTTCCGACAAAATAATTTCATAAGTTTTGTACGATTCCTAACTTACATTATATATATATATATATATATACATATTTCATTGATTTAAAGAACTTATATGAAATGTTTGATTTAGTATTTGGTTTGAATTTTTTTTATTTTTTATTTTGGCAAAGTGGGGGTCTTCCCCTTGCAGTTTTATTACCACTAGAAAAGCAATACAAAGAAAGAGGGATAATGAACCCAACCTAAGCCCTTTACAACTCACTCAAATAAAAGAAAATAGGTTCCTAAATTTAAAAAAAAAACAAAAAATACAACTCACACCCCACCCCAAAACCTCCAGAAAACAATTCAAGAAAGGTCAATGCCAATAAATGATCAGAAAAAGTAAAAAGAATTAAAGCTTTCAAAAGAGTATACCAAGCCTTTGCAGCCCAGTGAGCCACCAAATTGTCTTCTCTATGAACTTGCGTCCAAATAACATTCATATTCTCTATTAAGGCTTGAATTCTCTTTATCTGCAACATAATACTCCAATGCACCTCTTTATTCCACCAGCAACACTTCCAAAGAATTAGATAATCCATTTCCATAATAAAATTATGAATTCCTAACTTTTTAGCAATTATTAAGTCAAAAATCACTGCATTAGCTTCCTAACAATTAATAAAAAAATATATTCAAATATATATAATGTGTGTAAGACCTTTAAACTAAAATACTTTACTTGAAAGATAACGGAAAAAATATTACATCAAGACTCTGCAACGTGCAGAGTCCATTGAAATTACATCGTGGAGATGATCGGTCTGGTAACTCAAGAAAATATTTCCCTTGTGTTATTCCGTATTATTCAAGTGTTATTTTATGTTATTTAGGTGTTATTGTGTTCTGAGAATATTTCTGATGGTGTTGTAACATAATAACACATCAATAGTACTTGAATAACACACAATAACACCTGAATAATACACAATAACACCTTAATAATACGGGAGTAATATTCCTTTGTGTTATCGAACAAAATTTTATTTTTTTCTACGTGACATGATTTCATTCGATACTGCAATGATATAACATTTTTCCCACAAACTACATTCCCGAAGCTTAGGTAAAATTTTTTCCCAAAAAACCTTTTTCTTTTATGGATAAGAGATAAGGATGCTGTGGAGCCCACTGGCTCTTTTATGCTTTTTGTCCATTGTGGCAATCTTGCTTTAGATTATCCGTTTATGATATGTTCCGACAAAATAATTTCATAAGTTTTGTACGATTCCTAACTTACATTATATATATATATATATATATACATATTTCATTGATTTAAAGAACTTATATGAAATGTTTGATTTAGTATTTGGTTTGAATTTTTTTTATTTTTTATTTTGGCAAAGTGGGGGTCTTCCCCTTGCAGTTTTATTACCACTAGAAAAGCAATACAAAGAAAGAGGGATAATGAACCCAACCTAAGCCCTTTACAACTCACTCAAATAAAAGAAAATAGGTTCCTAAATTTAAAAAAAAAACAAAAAATACAACTCACACCCCACCCCAAAACCTCCAGAAAACAATTCAAGAAAGGTCAATGCCAATAAATGATCAGAAAAAGTAAAAAGAATTAAAGCTTTCAAAAGAGTATACCAAGCCTTTGCAGCCCAGTGAGCCACCAAATTGTCTTCTCTATGAACTTGCGTCCAAATAACATTCATATTCTCTATTAAGGCTTGAATTCTCTTTATCTGCAACATAATACTCCAATGCACCTCTTTATTCCACCAGCAACACTTCCAAAGAATTAGATAATCCATTTCCATAATAAAATTATGAATTCCTAACTTTTTAGCAATTATTAAGCCAAAAATCACTGCATTAGCTTCTGCAGTAAGTGCAGAAATAGGGAAAGTTAAGGCAGAGAACCAACAAACTACCGATCCAGCAAAATCACGACAACCCCCCCCCC